TTGACTGCATTTTCCACAGTTTTGTTTGCACAATTTTCAATATGCATTTTCTGAGCTGCTGCGGAAAAAAGTTGAAAAAATTTGTAACGAGACCAGAGCACAAAAAGACAACAATAAACAGAGGGTTGAGCAACAATGAAGCTGTTTGCCTGTCGTGTTTCATATCTCTGCCAAGCAGTGGCAAACATAACTCCCCCGTTCTGGCGCCCGATTTCCTTCGTCACTTAACCGCAAAGCTTAAAACTGACAAAATGGATGGCAAAACCAATTGCTGCGAATTGCGGTCAACAGTTTTGATTGTTTTTGTGGCCAAGCCAAGGGTGCTCGGCCTATAACAAGCGCACCCTGCAAACTGCTGTCTTTGGTTGTTAAACAATGCCAGCAAAATACTCGCACTCGCACTCGCTTTTCGGCCAGCACTCGAACAGGAATCAAACGGAAACAGTCGGAAATTCTCCAGTTTTCGTTATGCACTTACAATCAATTTGTGGCCATAAATTCAGATGCCACGCCCAGCACGAAACCTCCGCCCCCCCAATGTTTGACGCATCTTGTGCACGTCTGTGCGGGAAATATAAAAAAAAAAGCCAACAAAAATCCAGGACGAGTCGATCCCAAAAAAAATAGCAAACATAATGGCGACGCTTTACAACCCTTTGCTGCAACAAATAAAAATTTATGACTCTGCCCAGCGTGGAGCCAAAGTAATGTGTATGCTTATGTGTGTGCTCGGAATGGTGTAAGAAATGGTGCGAAATAAAATATTGGCTAATAATCGCATGATAATGCCGAAGAATTTGAGCTGCCAGCCTGCGGCAAAAGTTCTCACTCGTGGGACACGCTGCGTATACGCAATCCATTCTCCACTTTTTGCGGGCAGTTAATAATGCTTTGGTTTATTGCAAGGGACAGTGGAAAAGAGGGTGGGTCGTCTCAATGGCGTGGGCGGTGGGCGGGTCGGCATTAATAATGACAACTCGTTTATGGCCGCATCAAAATGGAGCTCAAAGCCCAGCACTCAAACTCACCCATCGCGCTTTATCCTAATTGCACTGGCGTCCCTGAAGCCTGAGAAAAGCTCACATGTGTGCGTGTTGTTTTTTTTTGGTGTAAGTGAAGAAGTGTGTGTGTGGCTGTTTGCATGGCCCGGCGGCAAAAGTCTGATAAGCTGGTAGTTCACAAAAAAAATGAAGAGGGTGTAAGGAAAACATTGCAGGAGTTGCGTTTAAGTGCAGTTCTCACATCCTGCATGTCCTTGGCTTCAGCATGGCGGCTAAGTAAGGGGAAGGGGATGTTCGAGTAAGTGCCTATGGTAACTACGGCCCGTAAGTGGAGTGCCCGTAAAAACTTATCCCATGCCTTATTATCTACCAGATAGGGCATGCACCCCTGAGTCAGCATCAATTCAGTGAACTTTAAGCTCCTTGTGCCACTTGAAGTATTTTTTACCCACAAACATTTAAGGAAAGCCAACAAATGTGTTAAAATTAAGCAAAATCACTATGCTGTATTTAATTAAGTAAATCTTACTGAAAAATCCGAACCTTACAAAGCCTAATCAAACTGCAATCAAAATAACTTATTAACTTCTAACCAAAATCGTCTAAAGTTGGAATTCTCAATTATTTTACTAACTATCAACTTATATTCCTGTAATTATTAAAAGTTTTTACATAAGTAATATTTAGTTGTTACAGTATTTATAAAAAAATTAAATTAAATTAAATTAATTAAAATATTTATTCTAATGGATATGCAAATATCATAATTTTCTTTATGGGGCAGACTTTTCCTTAAGTCACACCTAATTTCATAAAAATAATTAGCTTAACTACGTAGCTTTCATTAATATTGTAATTCATTACTAAATAATTTATATAGGTACTAAAAATGAGTAATTTTTGATTGAAAGCCTAGAGACTTTGTGAAAGCTGTCAGGGTAACTTGGCGTCGTTGTGCTGCCACAGTTGTGACACTCGGAAGGGAGTTTTCTCCGGCCGATTGCCGTTGTTGCACCATCATTGTTGCACCGTCGGCGCTTCGGAGGTGCAACTTTCGCCCAACTGGCAACTTTTAACGCTTTTAGCTGTTGATAGTAGTCAGGAAAGTTTTGGCCAACTGTTATCGTCGCGTTGCCGCCCAGAGCACGTGCAAAGGCCCTAATTATGACACAAGGACTAGTTCCCACTTCGCCAGCTCCGCCCTACTTACAGGCAGTGTCTGCCCGCAAACAATTTAGTCCTTAGTTTTTGTTTTTTGTCAGAAATCGTTTGTTTACGCTTCACTTGCCAGCCTTCCCGTCCTTTTGCACACGTGTTTTCCTTTTCCTTTCCCTTTCCACGAGCTTTCCCTCCGGCCATGCATTTTTCATGGCATTTGTCTGAAGCATTTTTATTCCTGGATGGCTGCTGGTGCCTGGGCACTTTAAAGTCTCTGGGACAAGGAAAACGGCGAAGAAAAGAGGGAAAAGCGAACACATTTCAAAAACATAAACGCACAAAATGTGTCAACCGCAATATGCTCGCTGTGTAAACAGGGCCGAGGCGGCGGCCACATGCGGAAATCACTAAAGGCACTTCCTGCACCGGCAACAAATGCCATAAAAATCATGAAAGCAGTGCTTGTGTTTGTGCCACAACCACCACTCACCAATCTCACACCCCCTACACTACTCACCTACAAAATACACACATAGATAAGCCGGGCACGATAAACGAGCGTTAGACTGCAGCCGAGGTCAATGGGTCGTTCCCGATTTCCTGAACACTAGAGATGATCACGTAAAGCTCATGGGATAATACTATACTTATTTTGTTTTTGGGAAAGCGGGTATTCCAGTTAAAACAAAAGAATTATAAAAGCTTTATTAAAAATACTACAATTTCAAAATAAATTTATTCAAACCAACTTCACTTTAAGCAAAACGCTTAGGACCTTAATTGTTTTTGTATTTTCCATATCGAAGTTAAGGATTATTAGTTATTAAAGCGTGTTCTTTCCTTAAGCTTTTACTTTTATAATTGTTATAACTATAAGTTACTATTTGGTCGCTGCTTTTAAATTAACTTTCACTTAAAAAAAAGCGTTTTGAGTAAAGCTTATTCTAGTTTTAGTTTCAGTAGAGTCTCTTAAAAAAAAATGCATTTATCAAGTGAGAATAAAAGTGCAAAAAATTCCACTCAAAAAGTTTTGGTTCCTTGCCATTTCTTAGCTCTTGTGTGCACCTCTGGTTGAGATCCTTTTTTCTTTACAAATGTCAGCCATACTTGTCATAATACGCTCACACACATAGACAGCCAGCGACACAAAGATATGGGAAGGCATCAAATGCCGCAACACTTTGGATCAGAGCCGGGCATTCCGCATGCCGCATGCCGCAAACAAACCCCACAAACCCGACAAACACACACACACACACACACGCGATGCCAGGACACGAGATTCTCCTGACTTGGGGCACTTCAATGGGAACTCGCACTCATACTCGCCCATTCACGTCACGAATGGCAAGGCATCTTCTCTCATTCCTGGCTCAGCCATGCAAAATATCCCAACATTATAAAACTTCAATCTTCTCTGAAGAACTTGTTTACGACTGATTCGGATATCGACAGGGCGACGAGGAAATGGGGATAAAAGGACACGACTCAACAGGATATAGAGCTATGCTTTTTGACATCCTAGCCTGGCCAAAGCATTTTGCATAGCATACATTTCAGCTGTCCATTATGAATAGTTTCCTCCTCCTTTCGATATTTAAATCGACAGTGTGATTCGAATTGGTTCAGTTGTGTGGCACGGATAAAACATTTTTATTTTGCAGCCAAATTGTTTGAAATATATTCTAGTATTATACATATATTAATATACAATCATTATATGTTTATTCTAAAATATGGGGCGAAATTAAATTTTAATTTTGGCGCATAAATAAAACCAACAAAATTACTAAAATGACAAACTGTTAAGCAATACAATATATGATTAAATAATTTTATTACTAAATTAATAGTCAACAAGGAAAATATACCTCTATAAAAACATTTTTTTAATGGGAGTGGTAAGTGTTAAATGGTACGCTAAAAGGAAATTATTTTATTTCAACTTTAAATGTATTGAACCCATTGCGACTTTTCACAATGTTTACTATTGGATTCATTTCTAATGAAACTTGGTTTATTTTGGTTTGGTTTGGTTGAATAAACCATGAGATCCCAGATTTAATTTAAAAGTCTCTTGCCACTCAAGCACCCACATACACCCTCACACACAAAGCTCCGAAACCCCTGCTCGACAACGTGTGTAAATGCCAGTGTCTGTGGGTATCTGTGGATTTGCACGCCAAAATGGTGATCAGTGCAGTGTTTACTTTTGTATATTTTCATTCCAACTGAGCCTGTACTCGAATAGCCACTGAACTGCTGTCGAAAGGCAGTGTGGAAAAGAAAATGTGCGAGATGAGGAAAAGCATGCGAGGGATAACATTGAAAGTATGTCTAGCAAAAGTATGCTTGTTCTACTGCTACGAAACACATTTAATGCTGTGCACAAAAGGACTACTGTGGTCCAGGCTAGTTAGGGAAAACATAACACATTTGAGTATAGCACAGAATATTCGAGTAATACCTTGTTATTATAGTATAATATGTGCGTTTGAGGCATTACTTCATACCAGTTCTTATGCACAGAAAACAAAGTTGATAACTTTGTTGATTTCAACAAATCACAGTTCATAGCATTCATTAGAAATAATTTTGACACAGCGATTTTATTTTGGTTTGTTCGAAAAGGAGCTCAATGGCGTTAAATGTGAATATGAAAAGATATTAAATTATTATTACCTTTTTGTAAGTAGCCTTGCATTTAATTAAGGAGAATTCGTCTTTCTCTTTTTCAATCTTAGCTGCCCCTTTAAGTTCCATTCTGAACAATAAATTATAGTTTGTACTATTACTCAAAAGTAAATTAACCACTTTAAATAAATATATTAAAAAATACGATTTTTATTTTAACACATCAATGGTTTATTCCAGCGACATAATAATGTGTATTTAATAATCTTATAATAAACTTAAGCATAGCTCCAAACAGCAAAGGAAAGCGTAAATACATTCATACATTTATAATACAATGTTATGCAATACAATTGCTTTAAGTACAAAACAGATAAATTGTTTGAATTTCTTTTCTCATTTCATTTGGCACAAAGGACTTCTCTCCTACAGCTAAGGAATTTTTGGTTTTTAAGTTGCCAGCCGTATGGGGTAAACTTCAGGATTTTTGGAGAAATATTTACAATGGGAATGCAAAATGTCAAAAGTTGCATTTGCTTTGAATAAAATATGAAACAAATCTGGCTGCCGAATGAAAAAGAACTTTAAGAGCATTTTTGTTACAAGCACACAAGAATACCAAAAGTTGCCTCGGCAACAACAAAAAACAAGGTAAACAAAAATTGTGTTTCTATTTATTTAGCTCCTAGCTCCGCCTCTCCGTTTGATTTGTTTGCCTGAGTGGAAATATAAAAATTACTTCGTTTACATCCAGCAGCAAGGATGAGGTTCAAACCGAGAGGCAGAGCGAGTCCAAACGGGTCACGCAACATTCTAGACAAAGTAATAACACTTGACGCACGTCTGAGTTTCCGGTTTGTGTCCGGTCGCAAAACGTGACCACACAGAGAGAAACTATCAATTTTAAACAATATGACAAAGCACTTCATATATATCTCACAAACAAATCGCAAAAATATTTGTTTTGGAATACAATTCTTTTTAGGCAATCAAAGCATGTTGCTTGACTAATATTTAACATGAAGGATTTATATATTAATATAATAATAACTATTATTTGAAAAATAAATATGACATATTATATTTTTGGTATACACAAATTAGATAGAGTTTTGGATTAACTTGATATTAATTATATTGACATTGTGAAACTGGTGCTAATAAGCTATTTAATTTTCTCTGTGTAGCTCTGGTGTCTATCTTTGCGAATCCCCTACCCCGCAGGTGGTGAAAACTAGACGAAACTCTCCTGACGTGTTAAATTGAATTTGAGAAGCGACGACGAGGACGATTTGGCCTTGCTTTTGCTGCTGGAGCTGGAGCTGGAGCTGGTCTGGGTCTGGGCCTCGGGCGTCTGGTGACCACTGGAAAAGGATCCCGCTGGCGTGGGAGTGGCCAGCAGCTGTTGTTCCTGCCGGTGGACGCCGAGCAGTTGACGAGCCAAGTGGGATATGTCCCCGCCGTAACTGCTGTCCAGGTGCTGAAGCGGAGAACTGGAGGAGGGCTTGAGGGCCAGCGACTGGCGCAGCAGATCAGGGAGATGCCACTGCTCCAGGAGCTCCGCTCCGAGGGTGGGCGAATCGCTGGCCAGGCGCGTCAGCGTGTGGAGGATGGTCTTGATGCTGCGGCGCTGGGCATCGCTCTCCGCACGTGAGCCGTAGGTCTTGTAGAATTCCGTTTGGTACACGGACGTGATGAAATTTATGATGATGCCGTTGGCCAAGTGGCTGTGGCACTTCTTGTTCAGCGACATGTTGTGCAGCATCCCAACGATCTGCTCCTGTGCGGATGAAATAAAACAGAGGGGGGAAAAGTTGATGAGCAAAAAATAAGCATCTCAAAGTGGTCTGGCTTGTGTGTGTGTGTGTATACATATATATTGGGGAATGAAAAATCGTGGCCAAGATTGAGAAAAAATTGCTTTGCAAATGCACAAATAAATTTTACGAGCCAGCGCCCGAGAAGCTTTCAATAAAATTGCCCGAAAAATTGCAGGAAATCGATCCGGGTGGAATCCCACCAAGGTCAGGTTCGCCCTTTTATTTCCGACGCAAAAATATATTTCATAGGTTTTGTAAGAAGAAACTGAGGGTATTTGATGTCAAAATTGCCACAAAAATGTGTTAAGCATACAAAGTTATTGAGTTGAACTCAAGCTAAATGATTTTAATAAATTTGATCCAGCTATAATGTATATATATATATGTTTAATCAGAAGGATATACATGCTTATATTTCAATGTGTTGAATAAAATAGAAATGGAATGTTACATAATGTGGTAGATACTTAAAATAAAAATGGTAGCTAACTAACAATATTAATGTGATAGATACTTACGTAGAGGAAAACACTGGCGCAGCTCTGGTGTTCCAGGGTGTCGATTAGTCGGAAGATGGCCTCGTTGGACATGATGGAGTAGTGCGAAGTGACCTCCATCCGACTCAGATTGTTGAGGGCAGCGGCGCAGAGGAGGAGGGTCTGTGTACAGCACTCCGGCTGCAAGAGGGCGGCCAGTCCGGCCACCAGGCTCTCAGAGCAATCCCTCAGGCCGGGCACTCGGTGCTCCGGTCCGTGCCAGGCGGCCGTGATCTGGGCCAGCAGGGACACGGCCTCCCTTCGCTCAATGGCTCCCCGCTCGCCGGCGGACTCCACCTGCAGGATGTCCCTGACAATGTCGATGCCCCCACAACTGCCCAGCTGATTGATGGCTTGGGGAGCACAGCACAAAGTGGCCAGCGCTCGGAGTGCCAAGGCCCGCACGGAACTCTGCTTGTGATCCAGCACCACAACCAGCAGGGTTCGCACTGCCTCGTTCTGGACGAAGGCGTCGGACAGGGAGGCAAATCCGTCATAGTCAATGTTCATCAGTGTGGCCACCCAGTTGATGTTGGCCCTCAGCAGGAGATCGTCCCGACTCTGCTCGATGCTGACCACCAGGACACGAACCAGCCGCTCGAAGATCAGTCGCAGGGTGATCAGAGTGTGCCTCTTCAGCAGCTGCACATCGTCGAGCAGCGACTCCAGATTGATGTAGTGCTGTCGCTCCAGCGAGTACCTCGTGTCCTTGCTCACCGTGCGAATTTGCTCCAAGTGTTGCTCGAAGCGTCTCCTTTCGATCCGCGCATCGTTGAAGAAGACACCCCGACGCTCCAGCGTGCTGGTGAAGTCGTCCAGATGGGACAGCAGTTGGGTGGCTCCGGCGAGGGCTTCTGGCAGAGAACTGGCCTGCAGTCCGCTGAGCACCCGCTCGCTGCGCTCGAAGTGCCCCTGGAGCGAAAGGGCCTGTTGCTGCAGCTGCCTGACCAGCTTGCAAACGGTACTCGTGGTGATCGTGTTGTTCTTGTACGCCTCCTGGGCAATGGACTTGTGCTGCAGGGTGCACATCACCTCCGGTTCGCCGGCCCAACGCTGCTCCGTCATCCAACTGACCACCGGTTCCGGGTGCTTCTTCGACTTCTTCGCTATCTTCGATCCACTCTTGGGCGTACTGGTACTGGCTGTGAACCTCAAAGCCCTCACTCGCAAGGGAGATGGTTGCAACTGAAGGGTTTCATCCTGTTCGGTGGATCCAAAGGTCACTGTCTCGTTGTTGTAGGGCGGTGGCGCCTCGCCCAAGTAAACAGTTTCGTTATTGTACGGCGGAGGCGGAGGTGGTGGCGCTGTTGCCACTTCCTCCTCACTTGCCGAAGCCTCTTCCGGTTCCGGTTTGATTTTCCGCATCAGTCGCCGGCGGCGTCTTATGGCCGGACGTGGTGGCGAATCCTGCTCCTCCTCGGCTGCCGCCTCATCGTCCAGTTTCATGCTGTCGAGCTGCTCGAACAGGCGGCTACGGCTGGCCTCCAGCTCCGCGTCCGCTGCATCCTCGTCTCCGGATTTCGCCTTGGGCGTAATCTGGCCGCTGCTGAAGGAAATGCGCCGCGTAACACTGACCAGAGGTGAGTAGAACGAGGAGTTGCCCACCCGGCGCACCACCGTGGGGGGCGTGGCCACCGAATGTACGGATGTGGGCGTGGCCGTGGGCGTTTGTTGCTTGTCCGATTTCGGCGAATGCGGCGATTCCTGATGCGGATGCTGCAGCTGATGCGATTCCTCATTGTCCGAAAAGCCCGAATCCTTAAAAGAACACAGAATAAAATATAATACTATTAGTTGTCGAAATAAATAAATATAAATAATTTGCTAATTCTATAACTTCTCTATATCATACTCTCAGTAAATTAAATTTGTTTAATTGGTCGAAATAAATAAATTCTTTAACGAAATTGAATTCGTTTTATTAAAAAAAAAATACATAGTGAATGCATTTAAATCAAGTAGGAACTAACATAAATCTAATATTTTTCACTTAATAATTTATATGCCCTAAAATTTTCAAGTTCGAAATTAAATAAACAATAAACAAACACAAAGGTCACTTTTAGTTTGCAATCTAACTTGAGCTATCTAAATCATTGAGTTCCCAACGGTTGTTCAAAATTATAATGCCTCTCTCGTGCTCCGTATTGAGTAGCCCCAAATAAAATGCTTACCTGACTGCGTAGACTGCCTGGACTATCGTGCTTGTGCCAGGATAGCTTTGAGGTGTTCTGCTCGTCCTCCACCTCCTGGATGCAGGATAGATTGCCCAGGGGGCCGAGGGAAGTGGGCTGCCTAGGGGTGAAATTACTGGTGGTGGAGCTGCTGCTGCTGCTGCTGCTGCTGCCGCCGTTGAAGCTCGAATAGAAACCACCGCTGGTCAGGGAGGAGGACTGCTCCGAGCCCCACCAGACCTTGCTGTAGCTGCGCTGAAAGGACATGCCTGGAATGGAGAAACAGAAACGGGCAATCAGTGGTGTCCATCATTTAAACAAATTGGAATCATTCGTTTAACAGGCTTAAATTCATTAAATTTAATGCAATTGCCGCTTGGCTGGACTGGATTCATTGCCAATACCCGTATTTCTCCCCCGGGTTATTCCGGGGTCATTCGCCCCGTAACATGGGCGGAAAGTGGGAGGGGCACTGCACACACACATGCCTGAACATTGGCTTAATATCCGTTACGAAAAAATTAAATTTCCGCCCAACGATACAAATCATTATTTTAATCAATGAAATGTATTGTACACACTATATGTATGTATATATTCTGTCCTTCTTTCCCGACCTTGTAGAAAAATGGATTTTCAGTTGACAATTTCGTTTTGCAGTAATTTAAGGAGCGCACAGCTTGAGCCTCAAGTTTGGGGGCCATCAAAATGACATTTGGCATATGGCCCAGTATACATTACTGTGCAATAATTTCTAAATAATTGATGTGAATGCCCCAAATTGTGGCCATTTATGCAGATTTCACAGACCAAATCTGTTGAGTTACAGGCAACTGTAGAGAAGGGCGGCCACCTGCCCGATGTTACTGAAAATGCAAATGATTTTCTAGGGGGGGTATGCGGCATGAACAAAACATTTTGGGGCTCTATTATGCAAATGGAATAAACTAATTATGCTGCAAAACAATTTTCGTGTGACATCGCAAACCGAACTCGTGTTTTATTTTGTTTAATTTTGCGTGGTTTTTGCACTTTGCCGTTTACATATTTATTAAACTTTGTTTTTCACCATAATTACATAATATACCATACAGAGAATAAATGGGGAGTGCACTTGTTGGTGTGCCACCAGCAACTATTTATGTTATGCATGAGTGGGGGGGGGAGTTTATTTTGCAGTTATGCACGCCCAGTGAACTCTGACCCCTCTCTTTTTTAGCCCCCAAATGGCCTTTGGTCAACTGGCCTTCCCCTGCCGAGCAAATATTGACAAAGTGCTGCTTTCAAGTAAACAAAATGAAACAAATAAACGACGGAACATTTTTTATTCCACTACTTTCGCACATAATAACACTCACACATTGCAACACACATATTTATTGAACTCATTAAGCAATTAATTAAAATTGTATTCAATTAGTACAAAATGACCGCCTATAAATACCAACAAATATTTGCGGCTCATTCACAGTTTAATAATGCAATTTTTAACGATTCTAACGCATTTTACAATAATATTGTTTTTGAGCGGTTTAGTTTCGTAAATCGTTTGGTTTCGAATAGAGGATTTGGTTCTGTGCTCTCTGATTTTATTAGTAAATGTTTTAGTCTTAAAAAACTGCTAACAATAAAAACGTCTCTGAAAGGTAAGTATTTAATAATTTACTTTAACAATGTTATACATGTGTTTTTTCATCCGGACTATTGAGCATAAAGTACCCCCATTTAAAATACGTTAACTGCATTTCATGAGCTGGCCATTCTACCCCCATCGCAATCCCGAATTACAGGGTACACAAATTAAAACCACTGTCCCTAGGACACGGGCTAATTAATGGAGAGCTCTGCCAGGCCATCCTCCGTTTAAATCGCGAACCCCGGGCTCAGTCCTCGGCAAAATCCTTTCGGTTGCACAATAAATATTGCACAATTGACGCTGGCTGGCTGAAAAGGGCTTAACAATGCAGCAAGGCGATAAAAATTAACGACACTTAATAGCAACATTGAAAATCATTAAGTGATTTATGGTCAGCCGCAGAAAAAGCTCCAATAAGTGTCACCGCCTGCCAAACGCCCGCCCCCCCAACGCACGTCCCGCCAATTTAAATCGGTATATATTTATTCTCGTTCCGTTATTTACATGAGCATCTTAGAATACGTAAACGCACTTTATAATACAGCAACATACACATATAGACAATAGTTGAGTTCACACTTCGTCTTTTCTCCAAGCATTGTCCCAATTTCGATTGAGTAGTTCTTCGTTTCTTGTGCACAATAATTTCAATAATTAAAACAAACTTTAAGGCCACACTCACAAAAGTCCAAATTACAACCAAAAAGAAGCGAAATAATAATTACAATTTTAGTAGACGGGGGTTTTCCCCCTATATGCAGGTGTGTGTGTTTGTGGGTGTTTGTGTGTGTGTGTGTGTGAGGGGGCGTGTCTGGTTGGCAGTCAATTAGCAGGGGCGCCACATAAATTTTAATATCGAATACGTATTCGCTTTTGGTTTTTGTGTTTAATCAAGATAAACGAGCTCGTTTTCAGTATTCTTTTCGTTTTTGGTTTGTTTTTTTCAAGGGGGAGTGGCATTTACACCTTGCAGACACACACACACACACGGGCTATACACATCCCACGTCCTCGGATAACTTGATGCCCCGAATCCCGCTCAGAAAATCATCGCGGCAAATCGTTGAGCACGAGCGTGGACGTGTAGCTGGGCGCCTGGATGTGAGCCGTCTTTGTGGTCGTCATCAGGGTGGTGGTCGTCATGGTGGCCTTGCCGTTGACATCTGCGTGCACCACATCTGTGCCGGACGCCGGCGGCAGCGCGTTCCCGTCCTCCACGTAGCCCACCGTCGTGACCTGAACGCTCGTCTTGGTCAGCCGGTGGGTGCGGTGCTGCGGCGACCGGGATCCACCCAGATCCGTGCCCGTGGACTCGTCGTCGCTGTAGTCGCTGGTCAGGGCACTGCCCGTCCGGCCAGAGCCGTCGTAGGAGTACTGGGTGTGATAGGTGCTGCTCGGCTCCCCGCTGCCGCCCGTCGTGCTGCTCCCTCCCCTGGTGACCACCTCCGACTCGCCCTGGTTGTTGTTCGTCTGGCTGCTGCTGCTCCTCTGCTGCAGCTGCTGCTGCTGCTGCTGCTGCAAAGTGTTGGTGGAGGCGGCGGTTATGTCCTCCTCGGAGATGTCGTCGAAGGCTGGCGGCGGTGTCGACATCCCCGAGAGCGTCATGATCGGCTGGCGGCCACCGGTCGGGGTGCTCAGCAGTGGAAGTCGCGAGGCGGGCGAACGCAGCATGGAGGTCGAGGTCTTGCGCTTGGAGGGGGAATGTTTCAGTGGAAATGTGGGCGTCTTCTTGAACACCTGCTTGCCCATGGCGTCCTGGAAGCGCTTGGCGTAGAATGAGGGTCGGCACACGGACACCGTGTCCCCGTTGTACAGGATGCTCTTGAACGTGTGCTCCAGCTTCTTCTCCAAGCGGTACGACTGCAAAATGTCAATGATGCCGATGTAGAGGATCAACCTTTCGTCGTTTTCGGACCGAGCCGGTATGCCGCCAGCGGGCACATCCTCGTCCTCCTCCAGCGGCACATCCATATCAGCTGTGATGGATTCCAGGGCCGTGGAATGAGCCACCAAACGCTGGCGATTCATACTGCGTGTGCGATTCAAGGCAGCTCCAGTCGAAGTGCCCGGAATGGAGGCGTAGGAGGCCACCGCATGGAGCTGATTCTGGTCCGCTTCCGGAGCATCATCATCCGGATTTAGGGAGGCGGGGCCCTGGGCGGCGCTCTCCTTGCGCTGCAGCTTGGCTCGCGCATTTAGGATCCGCTCCTCGCGCTTCTCCTTGGCGGCCAAATCCAGATTGTGAATGCCCACCAGCAGCGAGTAGTCCATGATCTGGAAACTCTCCAGCACCATGCAGTCTCGCCTGATGGTGCTCATCAGCGCATTGTACTTGTCCGTCTCCAGGAATATGCCGTTCGGATGGTGTTCGGCAAAGTCGAGGTCCTTGAACGTGGGACTCGCCTTCTGTCGCTCCGCCTTGGAGGCCTTGCGGCGGAAGGACGAGCCCTTGAGGTCGTACTTGCAGTGCATCTTGATATCCGACGGCAGCAGATTGTTCATGGCCACCAGCCGCACGTTCTTCGAGTTGTAGTGGAAGCAATACAGTCCGAAGAACTTGGGCAGCAGCGTTCGCGGGTTCTGCGAGAGGTTCATGTAGTAGCCGGGCAGCAGTTTCTGCAGGAACTCACACTCCTTCTTCTGCACCGTCTTGATAATGAACTCGTCGTCGGTCGTCAGATAGAATATGGAGCCAGAGGCTCCTGGATTTGAGAGCTCCACCAGGGGAGAGGCACACATGGACATGAGGAAGTCGTCTGGTGCGATCCCAAACAGGTCCCGGAAGTAGCGAAAAGCAATGGGTGCGTAGACCTTGAAGCGGAAGTCGCTGTAGTGATGGGCAGGTGTTATGGAGGAACCATCTGGGGGAAACGAAATGGTTTCCATTTCCCAGAAGTCGTTCATCAGCAGATCCCGCTTCGGCTTGCTGGCCAGGCTGCCCACCGTGTGCTGGATGCCCAGCTGTATGGAGCCCATGATCTGCTTGGACTGGATCTTCTTGTAGGTCACCTCGCCACCCTCCGCCACTCTGCGATGGCCGAGCTTCTTCTCGTGCTTGCCCCCGGTGGTGGAGGGGTTCCGGGAAACACTGGCATCCAGCGTGGAGCTGGCACTTCTGAGCTTCGCAGCAGGCGTCTGAGTGGCGGCTATGTTGTTCAGCTCCTGCTGCAGCAGGGCTGTGGTCTCCTGACCGCCGTGGGCCAGGGCGGCGTCCCTGAAGAGCTGTCGCGATGTACCCGGCTGCATGCTCATCGGAGGCGGCGTCCTGGCCGTGGCCTCCAGATCCTGAACGGCGGGACTTCCGGAGGAGGGAAGGCTTATCTTCACCGGCGTGAGCAGGCTCTTCTGCTCCGGCTCCAGCTGGTTTTCCTGCGATTCGCTCTCATCCTCCTGCTGATCCTTCGGCAGCTCCTTCTGCTTGCCAACTGGCTCCAGCTCCAGCTCAACCCGGGTGTCCATTTCCTTCCGACGATTTCTGCTCTCTGCGGAGGAGAAAACCACTTATTGCAGTGCCGCTCAAACAGTACAAAAAGCTTTCAATTGCAGCTCGATAAATGGAAAATTGCGGTTGTGTTTGTGGATGAGTAAGCGGGCTTGAGTGGGTGAGTAAACGATTAAGCCAGGGGCAACAAT